TCATGTATTTATTTATACAAAACCTGACCATAAATGAACAAACCAAAACTGTGAGCAAATTAAACTAACCAATTCATACAATTTAAAATATCAAATTTAATGTTCAAATTCATACAATCTAACTACCGGGAGGTAGGGGAGGGGGGAAAGCGTATCCTGCCGCATAAACGCAGAAAAATATTATGATAATGTGGCTTGTTCGGCTAACGCAACAGCTTATCTGGCCTGTTCGGCTAACACAACAACTTATCTGGCTTCCAAATATTAAATTATCAAATATTTACTATTTATTAGTATATTATAAAATGGCCCAATAAAACTTAACAAAGTCTAATAAAACCAAATAAAGTCCAATAAAATATATTAAAACCCAATAAAACCGAATAAAGTTCATTAAGTCCCAATAAAACTTAACAAAGCCCAATAAAACTGAATAAAGTCCAATAAAATGAATTAAGGCCCAATAAGATCGAATAAAGCCCATTAAGGCCCAATAAAATCGAATAAAGTCCAATGAAATGGATTAAGGTCCAATAAAACTGAATAAAGCCTACCAAGACTCAATAAAATCGAATAAAGTCCAATAAAACCGAATAAAGCCCATTAGGCTCAATAAAACCGAATAAAGTCTAATAAAATGCTTTAAAACCCAATAAAACCGAATATATCTCATTAAGGCCTAATAAAACTTAACAAAGCCTAATAAAACCGAATAAAGAGCAATAAAATGAATTAAAGCCCAATAAAATCGAATAAAGTCCATTAAGGCCCAATAAAACATACTAAAGTCCGATAAATGGATTAAGACCCAATAAAACCTAACAAAGCCTAATAAAACTGAATAAAGTCCAATAAAATTGATTAAGGCCCAATAAACTGAATAAAACTCATAAATGGATTAAGGCCCAGCAAAACCGAACAAAACCCAATAAATTGGATTAAGGCTCAATAAAAACGAATAAAGCCCAAATAACTCACACATACTATCGATATATTCACATATACACATACGTTTAAACATATATACATCATCCGATACATGTATCTTAAATAATATATACGTCGATCCAATCGAGGTTAGCAACCAACACACATCGTGTATGTATATAATACGGGCCGACAAGTATATATACATATAACACATACAACATCATGTATACATATGTATGTAACATGGGCTGACGGGTATACATACATATAAACATGCACATGTGTACATATAATACACATCGCGGTTAGCAACCAATATATATATATATACATATAACATATATATATATATATATATACATATAACATATATATATATAACACATATACATGTATACATACGACACCTACACATAAACATGTGTACATATAATATATAAAAAATGAGAAAATAAGAAAACAGGATAATCTCTCGCTGATCCATCGTTGATCATTGAGGGAAAGACTATTCCGAGGGAACTGGCCAAAAACGAATTTCCTCGCTGATCCCTCACAGAGGAACTGGTTTCTGGCCATTCAGCAAGGGATCAACGAGGATTATCTTATTTTTCTTATTTTCTCATTTTTTATGTGTTATGTGTACACATGTTTATATGTAGGTGTCATATGTATACATGTATGTGTGTTATATGTATATATATGTTTTGGTTGTTAACTGCGATATGTGATATATTTACACATATGTATGTGTTATATGTATATATACCCGTCGGCCCATACACAATTTGAATATATGTTTGTTGGTTGCTAACCATGATTGGATCTATGTATATATTGTTGAAGATACATGTATCAGATGTTGTATATATGTTTAAATGTATGTGTATATGTGAACGCATAGATAATGTGTGTGTCATATGTACACATGTGTATGTGTTATATGTATATATACCTGTTGGTCCGTGTTATATACATATGTATACACAATGTGTGTATATTCGGTTTTATTGGGTCTTAATGGGATTTATTAGACCTTAATTCAATATGGATCAGCGAAGGATCAACGAGAAAAATGTTTTTTGGCGTTTCCCTCGCTGGTTAGCGAGGGAACTGGCTTTTGGCCTTTCCGGAAACATGTCCATCTTCTTTTCAAACTCCACAATTTGTATGGATGTCCAATGATTTCCACTCTTAGATGCATCTTCTGGTAGCATTTCCTGCAAAACTTATAACTCCATAAACAAATATTCCCCATCAATATCAGAATCATTACCATTTGTTAAACCAAGTTCAAGATTCAAACAACATTTTTGTAACTCCTCATCATGTAAAGTAACCAAATTTTGCCCATCAAACAAGAAGCCAAACGTATATTCAAATTCTTGCATTTGTTCAAATCTAGTTCGTAATTGCAAAAAAAGCCATATCAACTAAAACAAGAAAATAATCAAATTCTAAATGTCTCTTGAGCGGATTGTTGTTCTCTCTTCGTATTTGGAATTTCATCAAATTGTTTTTTCCTGGAGAAAAAACATTTTACAGCAAACTCAGGTTTAACTTCAATATTATTTGCAATCTCTTTAGCTTCACTAATAACACATGTAAACCCATTTTCCCTATATTTTTCAAGCGTTTGCATCACAAGCATTTTCATTTTTATTATTAGCATTTTCAAAAACAATAAACTTATTTAGAGATCATTGCAAAGATTGAGCATTTTCTTCTTGCCTTTTCTTTCTTTTCCTATTTTGAGCACCTGATAGTTGTGATCGAGGAAACATATCTTAAATAGTTAAATTGTTAAACAAATGATACAATATAAAGAATAGAAAGATAACACCTGATTTTGGTTGTTCGTGTCGTGAAATTGTCAAACAGGTTGAAACTTCGAACTTTCAAAGTTGAAATAAATTTGTTTCAGCAATAATAACAATGATAACAATATAAATAAAAGAGGAAACATAAAGTGGTCAAACAAGAAACATAAAATGATCAAATAAGAATTTGGGTAAACCTAAACTAAACAAAATAAGTTAAATGACCCTAACCTAAACTAAACAATTAAACAAAATACCTCTAAATCCCTAATCTAAATTAAACAAAAGATCAAATCTTCAAATAACAATCTAAATTATCTAATCCTAATCTAAGCTAAACTAAAGTCTAAACAGGAAACATTCAAACATAAAGTGATCAAATCAAACAGGAATTAGAAATCATGAAAATCACCATAATCTAAACAGACTAAACTAAACAGTAAATATTAAACATTAAACATTAGAAATCAAAGTTTAGAAGAATAGAAGTTTACCAAATAAAACAGAGATGAGCGATAGTGACAGACGCATAGAGCGGTTCCAGATTCCAGAAACAAGGTCGAGCTCGAGCTGTCAAGACCCAGACACGAGACAATCAGACAACCTCACCAGGCTCACAACCAGTTCCATAACCGAGGTCAAGAGTGAGAGGCCGAGAGCTAGAGGTCTCAGAACTCAAAAACAGAAGTCAGAAACGAGAGCGAGAGTCCGAGAGAGAGGTCAGGAAATGGGAATATAGAGTTCGTTCGTGCTTCATTCTTGAAGCGAGGCCGAGAGATATGAGCGGTCGTCGATCGACGCCTTTGGCCTTTGATCTATATACAGTGGATTACTAACGGTAATTTTTTTAGGCCTAACTCAAAATGAACCTACCTATGTATAAATGGGCTTCAGAAAGTGATGCCCTTGGGCTATTTGCTGCCTTGGGCCTATAGCTAGGGTCGGCCCTGCATGTCAGACAAATGAAGTTCTAAAGTACTATTTTATTAGTATCTTACTTCTTTTTCTGTTCCTTCTACATACAAATGATGAGTTGTGTTAACATAAGTCATTATTATTCTCGAAGGCTAAAATGAGGAGTACAAAAGACCAACACGAGGTTAAAGTTAGACAAAAATATTTAATGCAATGTTGGCTATAAAAGACCTTCTTTGTTATATGTTGAAATTCACTCGTTTTGAAAGGAATTATGCGTGATAGTTTCTTAGGCAAAATCGACATCAAATGTATGACTATCTCAATTATTCAGATCTGAAAGGGTGCCTTCTTTTATTACTCTTCCGGTTTCTAGCAAATTTGTGTCACCAAACAGATTGTTTAAGATCAAGTCTTACCTTTCTAGCTTTCACAATAAAATTCGTAGCTCTTTATTCTTATTAAACATACAAAATTAAAAAGTTTAAAAATTCTTGTTTTTGTATACAACCCCTCTTTTACAAACACCTTATGTGTTAGTCATTATTATTTCATGACCAACAAGTGGTATTAGAAAATTTTCTTTAATTTCAATAAACATTTATAATGACTTCCATGAATAACGATAATGACCTTTATCAAAACCTCTCTATTTTCAAAAAGATAATTTTCTCTTTAAAAAAAATAGAATGATTTTCTCTTCAGAAAAATAAAATGATTTTCTAATTTTGAAGCGGTTGACAATCGAATCTTAAAAACGGTCTCCCCCAAAACCCGTCTTGCTTCCATTAGTATTCTTATATTTGAAACGATCTTATAAAAACAAGTGTCTTATAATAATATATGCTCATAAGATACTTCTCGAAAGTGTTTAAAGAAAGTAACCCGAAATTTGTTTTAAAAATATTATAAAAACTTTTTTTATGATTTATAAATATGTCATAACATTTTAAAACACTTTCATATATAACGTGTAATTGTTTGATATTATAAATTTAAATTGTTTAACATCTTATAAAACCAATTATTGGAATGACATTAAAATGATCCAAGTAACATTTGGTCCAGTCTTATTAATACTAGTCTTTACAGCTCTTTATTCATATGTTTCATATTGTTTTCAAACAAAAAAGAAAAGGGAATATAAAAAGAAATGAAAATTTCCATTTTCATTTTCATTTTCATTTTCTCTCCTATTTTTTTTTGGAAATTTCTAAAGGGAAAAGCAAAACTGATGAGATCAAAACAACAATAAAGTTTGAAGGTACAAAAAATCATCAACAAAAACCTATTTCTTGGATGCTTACAGAAAGGGAAGATGGGATCCTCCATTTCCACCATTATTATTATTATGTCTTCAATTTCAAGAAATTGACAGAACTCTCTCTCTCTCATGTTCATGTCTTCTTCTCTCTAACTCTCGCAGAAGCCCATGTCCATTTTTGGACCAGAAACTGCAGGTACTCTCTCTCTCTCTCTCTCTCTATATATATATATATATATGTATGTATGTATGTATATATGTGTATTTATGTATGTATTTGGGTATTAGATCTCTCAAGACTTACCTGCTTCTTCAGTGTTCTGACTTTTACATTATCTTATAGGAAAACTTATTGTTGTGTGACAGAACACTGCTTGCATATAGACAATTTTTAATGGTACTCTTGTAGCCTTCAATCCAAAATTTGGGATTTTTAGGTCTTTTTATGATCTGGGTTTTCATCCATTTTCTCTGTGGTGAGTTTGTAGATCTTCATCTGGGTTTCAGATCTGGACATCCTATTCTTAGATCCCTTTTCATAACTGTGAATATGCACTTTGCTTGTGAATTATAGCGATAATTTCAACTTTCGCAACGAATGTTGTCCTTCCTTGAAAACCTCTTCAAGATTTTCTTGAAAAGTTTTGATCTTTTACCCATTTTGAGATGAGATCAAAATGACAAATTGTTGTTTGATTAGGGTTTTGTTCTGTTAAATGATTTACTTAGTTTGGAAAGGTTAATGCTAGAAAACTCATCTTTCTTGACACTCTATTTCCAAAAAAAGCACTTGTTCTTGCAAGATTTACTTATATTTGAGTTCTCACAAGATGATTTTTTATGGTAAATTGGGGAAAATGTTTCTTAAAATTGTTTTTGGATCGTCGTTAACTCCGCTAATTCTGTTTCTTATATTTCATTGAATTTACTACTAATGGGGATGTTTGTCAGGTTCTTTGATACTTCATGTAATACAGTTTTGATGTTCTTGACTAATATTTTTGCTCACATTCATCTTTTTGGCTTGCTTTAGGTTTGTTATTGGCTTCAAATTCAACTATTTCCACTATGATCAAACAATTTCTCGCAAAAATCCCTCGTAAATCGTCAAAAGCCAATGCAACAGATGCTGATGGAGGTAGTTCTTCAAGTAGTGTTACAACGGATGTGGGCAACAATGGCTTCATCAACACTTATAATGCCATTTCAAGTCGATTAAACACAGTTAAAAAGATGTCTTCCTCAATTTTTCCTGCAAGCATCATGCCAGCGGGCGAAATGATTGATCCTCAAATACCTTTTAAAGATGTCCAAAATTCAGAGAAGCTGAGACTTCTCATCAGTAAGTTGAATCTTTGTTCAAAATTATATGATTTTCAAGATCAAGCTCAAGATTCTGTGGAGAAAGACATAAAGCGCCAAACTTTAGTAGAAATTATCGATTTTCTCTCATCCGAATCTGCTAAACTTAGTGAACCTGCAATGTTTGCCATTTGTAAAATGTGTGGAAACAATCTTTTTCGCGATTTCCCTCCAAAAAACTCTGTTTATTCACCTCGTGGTGAAACAGAAGATGAAGAACCGTCTTTTGATCCAGCATGGTCACATTTACACCTTGTATATGAAATACTCCTTCGATTTCTCAGTCAAACTTCTCTTGATCCAAAAGTTGCCAAACAGTATATCGACCATTCTTTCATATTAAGATTACTTGATCTATTTGATACTGAAGATCCTAGAGAACGAGACTGTTTAAAAGCCATTCTACATAGGGTTTATGGTAAATTCATGGTTCACAGACCCTTTATTCGGATGGTTGTCAGCAACATCATATACCGTTTTGTTTTTGAAACCGAAAAACACAATGGGATTGCAGAATTATTGGAGATTTTTGGTAGTGTGATTAGTGGATTCGCTTTGCCATTAAAGAAAGAACACAAGATGTTTTTATTAAGGGCTCTTGTTCCTCTGCACAAACCCAAGTCTGTGGGCGTGTATCATCACCAGCTAACTTACTGTATTGTTCAGTTCATAGAGAAAGAACCGAAACTTTCGAGTGCTGTTATAATGGGGCTGCTGAAGTTTTGGCCAGTTACAAGTAGCCAGAAACAGTTGATGTTCTTAAGTGAGTTGGAAGAGTTGCTTGAAATGATTCATACCGATGAGTTTGAGAAGGTTATGGTTCCATTGTTTCGCCGAATAGATTGCTGTCTTCGCAGTTCCCATTTCCAGGTAATTTTCCAATATTTCTGTAGTATTTTTTAGAAACTTATTGGAATCTGATGCTTTCACAATCTATATGTTGTATGTTTTGAGTTTGAATTCTTGGAGTAACTCCATTTGTGACAAAGGATGCATTGTACTTGCAAAAAGGAATATTTGAGGTTTAATCTAATTTAGTGTTGGACACCGGATTTTTAAGCACCCTCGGGCCTATTTGTCCATTGTCTTATTGCAAAATGTCGGTTTTATTAATTTGGGTTTGCAAGATTCATCTACTTTGTCGTTATTGAGGGGTGTATAAGTCATTGGACTATTTCTCTCGAGCTCGTGCTAGTCAATTGTTACAATGTAGTTCCCCATTGCAAGACTAGTGTTCTATTACAAGGAATTGGATATATTGATTTGGATTCACACGATTCATGCAGTTATTTGTACATATCGAAGGGTATTTAAGACATTTGACTAATAGTAAAACAATTCTATTGGACAGAGAGTGTCCAATGTAGTATCCTATTACAAGATAGTAAAACTTTCCCGGCGGCTATTAACTTCTGCACCCTATAGTCGAGGTGCACACGAACCGGCCCGGATGCCCGTTGTTACCGAAAACTTTTCTTTTTCTTCTGCACACTTCGCACAAGCATGGGGTCTCTGAGGGTAAAGGTCAGTTATGCGTACATCCCACCCTGACTCCATCCTCAGGTGGGATACACTGGCCTGGTTTGGTTTGATTTGGTTTATGTCAATGTGCCATATCTTGCCGTTTGTGGGAAAACTAGCATGTGAATCCGATCGGATATTCTTACACAAACTCGGCTGCATATATAGTTTCATTATTTGGGTCAATTTTTGTTTATATCCAATGGGCTATTTGTGTGCTCAATGGCTCGAGCCAGATGTATTAGAAGTGTACTTGTTCTTACGAGTGAACCTAACTTGTAGGTGGCTGAGCGAGCACATTTCTTATGGAACAATGAGCACGTACTACATCTCATCATGTATAACCGCCAGGTGATAATGCCGCTAGTCTTCTCGTCCTTAGAGCGGAACTCCCAAACCCATTGGAGCCGCACCGTGCTCAACCTTGCACAAAACATGATGAAAATGTTGAACGATGTGGATCAAGAGTTAGTGGTTTCGTGCCAAGGGCAGTCAGAGGAGGACAAGTCAACCTCAACTGTGGTGGCTGAGAGGCGGCGGTTGACATGGGAACGCCTTGAAAACATTGCCGCTTTTCAACCCGTCGTTGGAAATGTTTCAATTTTGGAAGAAACAGCACCGTGTATCGTCTCTTGCTAGAAAAGTTGTTCAAATTTGCTCATCAGGAAACCGGTTCTGCACTAGATTTCTTCTTGTTTTTTTTTTCCGAATAGAGAAGAGCGAAGCCGGGCCTCTGTGTCTGCCTAGTTATTTATGAAGCTTAACGGACGTCCTTAGGATTGTTTGAGGATGTTCTTGTTCGATGAAAATAAGGAGTATTAATTTGTCACTTGTTTGAACACACTTTTTTGTTGTGTATGAATTTGGTTCTATGAATCCTAAAAATTAGTCTACGCAAGACTATTTAGAATTTCCTGATGTTGATTTTGGATCATCATGACGACGATTTGTCAAACTAAAATATGATTTTGACCATTTCAATGTAAAAAAACCAGTCATTTTTATAATGATCGTTTCAAAAAGAAGCATTACATGACAAACGTTCCCCAACTATTTCGATTTGTATATTTTAGATCTCTATTAGGTTTTTTGTTCGCTAGAGTTGAGTTATTCTGTCTATTTTTCGGATTGGGTTTGTCACGTTGACGGTTTATTCTTCTAATTGGGTATTTTTGGCAGAATGTGGACAAGAATAGATCTGTCCTTTGTTAACTAAGTCGATTAAGTCTGAAACAAAGACATATTGTGACGGGTTGAATAAATCATGGATTTCATTAAATTCATGATTGTTATATGAATATATGGAACTCCATTAAATTGCTCTTCAAAACAGTCCTCAATAACAGAAGCAGAAAAATGGGGGTTTCCAACATACATAGAAGTGAAATGGTCTAAAGTAAGCCCATATGGACTGCAATATGCCCCTCCAAGAGAGGCTAGATGGGCACAAATTGGCCTCGAGTGTCGAGAAGGGTAAGACGAATATAAATTACTCCAGAGTGTCTAGTTCTTGACTCCGATAGTGGAAACCCATCAAAGTAATAATTTTGGTTCTTATGGGCAAACAAAGCATCGTGCGAGAAAAAGAGTTAAAGTGAGAAACGTAAGAATGGATCTGGACCCTTGATCACCTTTAATCTGAAAACCCACCTATGAATCACGCTTGATATGTGGATTGATCCAGTGCATCTTATCCTAATGTGTATCTTATGGTGGAGTTCCTACGCTTCTCACATTGACTATCTTTCTCACCCAAATCCAACCCTTGTGGGTGGGCATGTATAAGTTTGAGCCTTACAACATATGATCTTAAGGAAAAAAGAATGTCACACACAGAAAAGAGAAAAACAACATTCAAGAACTCAAATTCACATGACATTGTTGTGCATAAAATTAAGCATGATAGACAACTGGATCTCTATCTCATGAACAAACTGAACCAAAGATGGTACCTATAGACCGGTGAAGAAAGATCTAAGTAGACCATCGGAAACACGAGGCTTCCATATTCGAAAAGCAATTATTTAAGGAATCAGAATGTAATCTTGAAGAATATGAACCTCGTACCTCAACACATCCATGCTTAATTTCATATAAACATTTTTAGTCCAGCTACCTTTTGTTGGATTCAGATACAACCCACACTCAATGATCTTTAAAAAAGATGACACGTATACATACCCAAGCTAACCAGAAGGACCTTCTTCTCGTTTGGAGTTGACTCACCTTCATCATGACGCACTTTTCGATCTTTCCACACCATCTGGGAAACCCTAGCCATCAGGAACAATGAAACTAGAACCATAAATCTTGCAAAATAATCGAGGGTTTTCAGATATATATAGTTTGTAGCTTTGATGATCGTAAGGTTGATTCGTGTAACCTTGAGATTCTGATGAATTGATTGGAATTTCTCTGCGATATATCAAGCTAAAACCGTATCCGATGATCCACATGTTGAGCATGACAAAAGATATGTAAACTAGTTCTGGGATTTCTTCATCTTCTTCATTTGGTTCAGAAAGTGTGCAACGGTCACCAAAAGAAGAAAAACCCGTAAATACCCTTCAAAGATCTTGCAAAACATTACATTTTTTTCGTGATTTATGTCATGAAGCATGAAGGTTTGCAAGTGTACTTAGTGAAAATGGTAAACATCGGTTTCGTTTCTTTGGCTGATAATGCTGATCGTTGTAGTCGGATTGATCAACCATCTTATGTTTTCTGGTGGGTAATTGATGGAGACTTCAATGAAGCAATCTAGACCTCTTTCAATATCCACGTGATCGAACTGACACTTTTCTGCAGCTGATTAGATATAGCTTTCTGACATTCTGGTCGTAAACACCCTATAGAATTTTGCTTCTTTATTGATTGAGTTTCTGATGCAACCGATTACAAAGAGCCTAGACTAATATACAACTCTAGCCTTGAATCAAGGAGTAAAAGGATATACAACTCTAGCCTAAAATCAAGGAGTAAAAGAGTCCCGATGTGAGAGGATCGATATGAGAGGATCGAGATCGATTACAGGATAGGCATGAGTTATATGTGGATAATATTATAAAATTCTATACTCCCCCTCAAGTTGGAGCATGTAGATTTGGCATGCTCAGCTTGCTGACTAGAGACTCGAACTGTTGTAGTCTCAAAGCCTTAGTAAAGAGGTCTGCAATTTGCATCTTCATGTGGATGGGGAGAGGAACAACTTCTTGATCTTCTACCCGTTCTCTAACGAAGTAGCAATCCATCTCAACATGTTTAGTCTGTTCATGAAAGACTGGATTCGTGGCAATGTTTCGTGCAGCTTGATTGTCGCAGTAAATGGGTGTAGGCCCATTTTGCTTAACTTCGAGTTTATCCAAGAGCCATCGCATCCATATTATCTCGCTTACTGTGGCAGCCATTGCCCGATATTCCGCTTCAGCTGATGACCAAGAGACAACTGTATGTTTCTTTGATTTCCACGAGATAGGTGCCCCTCCTAGGAGTAAAATGTATATTGTTCGTGACCTTCAAGTGAAAGGGCATCCAAGCCAATCTGCATCACAATACGTGATGAGATTTGTTCCTCCTTGTCTCAGAAAGAAGATATTTTGCCCAAGAGTGGTTTGCAGGTATCTCAAGACTCTTGTGGCTGCATCCAAGTGATCTTGTCGGGGATCCAACACAAACTGACTCAGAACATTCACAACATATGTAAGATCTGGTCTAGTGGCTTGGAGATACAATAGTTTACCTACCAGTCTTCGGTACTTACTTGCATCTACACGTGGCTTTTCATTATCTTTGTTAAGCTTCAAGTTCTGCTCCATTGGAAAGAAGCACGGTCGGCATCCCAGCATTCCAACATCCTCTAGAATGTCGAGAATATATTTTATCTAACTTAATGCCAAACCATCTTTTGTACGAGCCACTTCTATTCCAAGGAAGTACTTTAAAGGACCCAAATTATGCCGAATTTCTTGTCCAGGAAGGCTTTTGTTTCTTCAATTTTATTCTTGTCATTCCCACAATGATAATCTCATCAACATATATGAGAGTAGCAATGAAAACCTTGTCTTGTTTGTATATGAAGAGGGAATGATCCGCATGCGATTGTTCAAACTTGAGTTCGGTGAGTACCGATGTTAGTTTTTGGTACCAATTTCTTGAGGCTTGCTTTAAACCATAGAGTGACTTCTTCAACTTGCACACTTTGGTTCTTCCCCCTTTCTCATAGCCTTCCCGTATCTTCATGTAAACTTCTTCATCCAAGTCACCATGTAGGAATGCGCTGTTAACATCCAACTGGTGAATGCCCAATCTCTTTTGACTGCAATAGCAAGGAGTGTCCTAATGGTCACCAACTTTGCGACCGGTGCAAACGTGTCATGATAGTCGACCCCCTCCATTTGAGTGAAACCCTTTGTGACGAGTCTAGCTTTGTATCTTTCTATCTCACTGTTTGGCTTGTATTTTATTTGGTAATTCCTCAATAGACCATGTCTCATTTTCTTCCAAAGCTTGTATCTCCCTTTGCATGGCATGTCTCCAATTTTGATCTTGCACTACTTGGTTAAAAGTTTTTTGCTCATCATTGGAGGTGATGGCCGCCAAGGTTGCTTTGTGAGATTTCAAAAAATTTTCATAAGAAACAAAATTAGCCAAAGGGTATACCGTGGAGGCTTCTTGACTTGGGATGGGTTGAGAAGGGTCTATAGACAGAGGGAGCTTGACCACGTAATCTTCCAAGTGTTTGGGTCTTGACCTGTCTTCTCTCTTTGCCTTGGTCGACATTACCATCCTTGCTATTAACATTCTCATCATGATTGGTTTCATGACTTTCAGTATTAACATCGGTTTCTTCTACGGGTTGTCCATCCTCTTCATTAGTGGAGTCACTTGAAGAGTCATTTGGATTAGAATCCTATCTATCGGTTGGTTCATTGTTCTTTTCATTTTGTTGATTTCGTGCCTCTCCCACATCATAAGGCACCTCAATTTCATCATCATTTTCTCCTTTGTCCTCTTTAACATTGGTGCTAAAAGGAAAAACATTCTCAGCAAACTTTACATGCCTTGACACACTAATTTTAATATGGCTCGGGTCGTAAATTTTGTAACCCTTTGTACCATGAGGATAACCTACAAAAACTCTTGGTCTTCCTTTTATTTCAAACTTATCACCTCTCGTTTTTGTACTTTGATAATAGACCAAGCACTCGAAGATTCTCATGTGATCATAGTTTGGCTTATGACCATGTAACAGCTCGTATGGAGTTTTGTCTCCGATAATTTTCGAAGGCAATCTATTAATGATGTACGTTGTTATCAAAACGCGCTCACCCCAAAACCTTGCTAGAAGACATGCTTCAATTTTTAAAGCTCGAGCAACCTCAAGTAAATGCCTATGTTTTCGCTCCACAACCCCATTTTGTTGTGGGGTATGTGGACAAGTTGTTTCTAAAACTATTCCATGCTCGACATACAAATTTGTCATTTGGTTAGAGGTAAATTCACCACTATTGTCGCACCTGATTATTTTAATATTCATTTCAAATTGAGTTTTAATCATCTTGTGAAAGTCAATCAAACATGTACTTGCTTCATGTTTGTGTTTAAGAAGAAAGACCCAAACCGCCCTACTGAAATCGTCTACAATAGTCAAGAAATAACTTGCTTTTGAAAAAGAAGGCGTTCAATATTTTCCCCATATGTCACAATGCAACAAATCAAAACAAACATTTGTTTTAGTAACACCAATCGGAAAGGGTTGTCTCGTAAGTTTGGATTTAGCACAAGAATCACAAACATGATCTTTATTTTTAAACGAAATGTTTCTAAGGAAACTTATTCGCGTCAACTTCTCTTCACTAGCATGTCCTAACCTCTTGTGCCACATATCAATTTT